GTGGTGGCATGCACCTCGCTTGGACCCGGGAAGGCAGAGGTTGCAGTGAGCTGAGATAGCCCCTCTGGGTGACAGAACGAGACTCCATCTCAAAAACAATAATAATAACAATAAAAATTAGTTGGGCGTGGTGGTGTGCGCCTGTAGTTGCAGGTACTCAGGAGGCTGAGGCACGAGAATCACCTGAACTCAGGAGGCAGAGGTTGCAGTGAGCCAAGATTGCACACTGAACTCCAGCCTGGGTGACAGAGACTCTGTCTCAAAAGAAAAAAAATTTTTTTTGCTTGAAGCATTTATTCAGTAATCTTTTAAATAAATAATTATTTTATTTTTTATTTTCTGAGACAGCGTCTTGCTCTGTCACCCAGGCTAGAGAGCAGTGGTGCCATCACCGTTCACTGCAGCCCCGACCTCCCAGGCTCCAGTGATCCCCCCACCTCAGCCTCCTGAGGAGCTGGGACCACAGGTGTTGCCCGTGGAGTGTCTCGACTACAAGTTGTCCAGGTTCTTGGAACAAAGAATTGGACAAAACCCACAGCAAAGCAAGGAAAGAATAAAGAATGAAAGCAGAGATTTACTGGAAACGAAAGTGCGCTCCACAGGGAGGGGGTGCCCGAGCAGCTGCTCCAGAGCCCTGGTTACAGAATCTTCTGGGGTCCAGGACCCCTCAGAGGGTCTCCATTGGCCACTTGGTGTACACTCCATGCAAATGAAGTAGTAGCCTGTGACCAGTTTGATTGGTTGCGGAGAGCAGCCAAGCGGAGGTATTTTCAAGTTTCCATCTGCCACACAGAAAGAGGGGAAGAAACGGTTTGCAAGGGAGTAGCCTCTGGTCATTTTGTTACTTAGAGGTGGGAAGTCGGGGTTTTCCTTTTGATTTAGTTCTAGGAAGTCAGTGTGAATCGGCCTTAGGTTCCCTGCCTCCTTACTCTATTCTCCTGCCCCACAGGCTCAGGCACCATGCCTGGCTTCTTTTTTTTTTTTAGTTTAGAAATGGGATCTCACTATGTTGCCCAGGCTGGTCTTAAACTCCCGGTCTCAAGGAATCCTCCCGCCTCGGCCTCCCAAAGTGCTGAGATTTTAGGCGTGAGCCACTGTGCCTGGCCTAAATAATTTAAAATGTCTTTTCTGGTTACCCAGTGGAACTGGGGTTCCACTGCAGATTATCTTCCTCCGGTCTGAAGAATTTCTGTTAGTTGGCTGGCCATGGTGGCGCACACCTGTAATTCCAGCACTCTGGGAGGCTGAGGTGGGTGGATCACCTGAGGTCAGGAGTTCCAGACCAGCCTGACCAATATTGTGATGCCCCATCCTACTGCAAATACAAAAATTAGGAGGGTATTGTGGTGTGCCCCTGTAATCCCAGCTACGTGGGAGGCTGAGACCAGAGAATCACTTGAACCCAGGCAGAGGAGGCAGAGGTTGCAGTGAGCTGAGATCATGCCACTGCACCCCAGCCTGGGCAACAAAGCGAAACTCCATCTAAAAAAAAAGTAGTAAAATAACATAATTTCTGTATTTTTTTGAAGGCTGGGCCTTTTGCTGATATTTTTCAGCTTTTGTTGATCTGAAAATGTCTTTCATTACCCTTCCTTTTTTAAAATTTATTTTTTAAATTTTTATTTATTTATTTCTCTTCTTTTCTTTCTTTCTTTCTTTTTTTTTTTAAGACGGGGTTTCACCATGTTGGTCAGGCTGGTCTTGAACTCCCGACCTCAGGTGATCCTCCCGCCTTGGCCTCCAAAGTGCTTGGATGACAGGCGTGAGCCACCGCGCTCGGCCTTCTTTTCTTTCTTTCTAAAGAAGAATCATTACCCTTCCTTAATTTCTTTTTTCTTTTTGTTTAATAGAGACAAGGTCTCACTATGTTGCCTAGGCTGGTGTCAAACTCCTGGACTTAGGTGATCCTCCCACCTTGGCCTCCTAAAGGGCTAGGATTATAGTAGTGAGCCCTCACTCCTTCCTAGCTAGCAGCATGTGCTGCTCTCTATATGGCATTTTTTCGTTTGTTTTGTTTTTTGAAACAGAGTCTAGCTATGTCGCCCAAGCTGGAGTGCAGTGATGCGATCTTAGCTCACCGCAACCTCCGCCTCCCGGGTTCAAGCAATTCTCCTGCCTCAGCCTACTGAGTAGCTGGGATTACAGATGCACACCACCACGCCTGGCTAATTTTTGGATTTTTAGTAGAGACGGGGTTTCACCATCTTGGCCAGGCTGGTCTTGAACTCCTGACCTCAAGTTATCCACCCGCCTCAGCCTCCCAAAGTGCTGGGATTACAGGTGTGAGCCACCGCGCCTGGCCTGTGTGTGTGTGTGTTTTTTTTTAATGATACACTTCCCATGTCATTTCCATAGTTATCTCAGTGCCCCCTAAAATCCCTCTAATATGGCTGGGCATGGTGGCTTACACCTGTAATCCAGGCACTTTGGGAGGCTGAGGCAGGTAGATCACTTGAGGTCAGGAGTTTGAGACCAGCCTGGTCAACACGATGAAACCCCGTCTCTACTAAAAATACAAAAATTAGCCGGGCGTGGTGGTACACACCGGTAATGCCAGTTACTTGGGAGGCTGAGGCAGGAGAATCCCTTGAACTTGGGAGGCGGAGTTTACAGTGAGAAGAGATTGGGCCACTGCACTCCAGCCTGGGCTGAGTGAGACTCTGTCTCAAAATAAAAAAAAAGAAAATAAAAAGTCCCTCTAATATGTGAGTGAATATTTAATGAAACAATTTTTTTTGCTTAGGACATCCTGCCAAAGCAGTTTGAACTTGCATTATAACTACAAACACATATATGGCAGTTAAGACATGTAAATGTAGGCTGGGCACAGTGCCTCACACCTGTAATCCTAGCACTTTGGGAGGCAGAGGTAGGCGGATCAACTGAGGTCAGAAGTTTGAGACCAGCCTGGCAAACATGGGGAAACCCTGTCTCCACTAAAAATACAAAATTAGCCAAGGGGTGATGGTGCATGCTTGTAACACTATTTGGGAGGCTGAGGCAGGAGAATCGCTTCAACTGGGGAGGTGGAGGTTGCATTGTGAGTCGAGATTACACCACTGCACTCCAGCCTGGGTAACGAGCAAAACTCTGTCTGTCTCGAAAAAAGAAAGAAAAGAAAAAGGTTTTACACATTGAATGAATAAAAAATGTGTGAACTGACCCGTGTCTCCTGCCTGGGGCCTCCATTCCAGAGTTCCTATTCAGGATGTCCTCTTTACTCTGCTCCGTTTAAGTCCAGTCTCCTCTAAGTCTTTCTAGTCACACTAAACTCTGTACGGAAATTATTATTTTTGAGACAGTGTGTTTTTGTCACCCAGGCTGGAATGCAGTGGTGCAATCTCAGCTCATCCAAACCTCTGCCTCCTGCATTCAAGGAATTCTCCTGCCTCAGCCTCCCAAGTAGCTGGGATTACAGGTGCGCGCCACCACGCCCGGCTACTATTTGTATTTTCAGTAGAGATGGAGATTCACCATGTTGGCCACGCTGGTCTGTAACTTCAAACCTCCAGTGATCCACCCACCTGGGCCTCCCAAAGCATTGGGATTGCAGGCTTGAGCCACCGCACCTGGCCTCTGTACCTAAATTGTATCAGTTCGCTCTTCTAATTGTTCTTTGCTATTTAACAAGCAGCAAATAGAGGAGCTCTGGGATGTTTGCTATAACCTGTATCCTGAATCTTCTTGTCACCCACCCTGCAGGAGCCACCATGTTGGAAGAAGTGTGACAATTCAGTCCCTCCCCAGCAGAGACTTAAAGTGGTGTGATTTGTTGCTATTTCAGTTTTGCGAAGATGACTGTTGCCTAAGCCATGGTTTCCAGGGCTGATGCTGACTTCCCACGGAATTCTCCTGTTTAAGAGGTTGCAGACGCTTCATAATCCTGAACCTTGAACATCTCCACAACTGGTTAAGTAGCCGTGAGATACATTTACACGATTTTTTTCTTTTTAATGGCAGGAGTTTCATTGATTAGTAAGCATCTAGACTATTGATCATCTTGTTTTAGATGGGGCCTTATAATTTTTTAAAGTGGCAAAATTCTGTTTTTTTAAAACCCGTTAGTATCAAACTGGTTAAGATATGAACTATTCGTTCATAAGAGAGTTCCGCGTATACACATGTGCACGCACACATATGTGCGTTTTGTTCTGTTTTGGGGCAGCGTTTCACTTTTGCAGCCCAGGCTGGAGTGCAGTGGCGAGATCTCCGCCTCCCGGGTTCAAGCGACTCCTGCCTCGGCCTCCCGAGTAGCTGGGACTCCGGCGCGCACCTCCACCGGGCCCGGCTAATTTCTTTTGCTTTTGCGTTTTTAGCAGAGACGGGGCTTCGCCACGCTGGCCGGCCGGGCCTCGGGTGCCGTGTGCGCGCGGCCTCCCAACGCGCCGGCCCGGTGTATTTTTAAACCGGGCGCTGACGACAGCGGGTGAAAGTGATTTAGAACCTCCGGGTCTCCGGCGGGACACCCCGACACGACGGCGTGACCGCTGCCCGGAAGGGCGAGCGCGCCGGGTCTCGGAGCCGCTGGTTCGAAACCAACCTGTCGCCGGGCCCCGCGGTCTCAGGCCCCGGCCCCGCACTCCGCCGGGAAAAGGCCGCGGGGCGGCCGGGCCTGGCCGCATCCCGGGGTCCACGCCGGCTTCGGGGCCGTCGCGTGCCCGGCGCCCGCTGTGACCTTGGGCCGGGTCCCGCCCGCCGCGTCCAAGGAGCTGCCGGACCCGCTCAGAAGCCCGGCCCGGGCCCCGCGCCCGCTCCCGCGCCGCCCCCCGCGCCAGCCCCGATCCCGCGCGGGCTCCCGGCCGTCCGCTCCGGGTTTTCCGCGGCGCCCGGCGCCGGGGCTGCGTCGGGGCGTCGCCGCCGGACGTACGGGGCGCTCGGCGCGACGTGTCTTGCCATTGGCCCGCCTCGGTAGCCCCACTGCCGTGCGCCGCCCCCATTGGCCGGCCTGGCCGTCCGTCAGCGCGGGGCGGGCCCGGCGCGCCGGCTCGGTGGCGCGGCCGCGCGTGCTCCCGCCCCTCGCCGCCGCTCGCTCGCTCGCCGGCCGGCGGCCTCGGCTGGGCCCCCTCCCTCGGCTCCGGTGCGCGGCGGCCGACGACCCGCGCGGCCTGGGCCTCGGCCCGCGCCACCGGCGCCCGCGCGGAGCGGCCCGGGGGCCCTCACGCAGGCCCATGGCGGCGGCCGCGGCGGCGCTCTCGGGCGCGGGCACGCCACCCGCGGGCGGCGGGCCCGGGGGCGGCGGGTCCCCGCCGGGCGGCTGGGCCGTGGCGCGCCTGGAGGGCCGCGAGTTCGAGTATCTGATGAAGAAGCGCTCGGTGACCATCGGCCGCAACTCGTCGCAGGGCTCGGTGGACGTGAGCATGGGCCACTCGAGCTTCATCTCCCGGCGCCACCTCGAGATCTTCACGCCCCCGGGCGGCAGCGGCGGCGGCGGCCATGGCGGGGCCGCTCCGGAGCCGCCGCCCGCGCAGCCCAGGCCCGACGCCGGCGGCGACTTCTACCTGCGCTGCCTGGGCAAGAACGGCGTGTTCGTGGACGGCGTGTTCCAGAGGCGCGGGGCGCCGCCGCTGCAGCTGCCGCGCGTGTGAGTGGGCTCGGGGCGGGCGGGGCCTGCGGCCTGCGGCGCCGGGCGGGGCGGGGCGGGCGGGGCGGGCGGGACGGGACCCGCGCCCGGGCTCCGGACCACCCCCGGCGGGAGGTGAAGTGGGCGGGCCCCGGCCCCGCCCGGCCCCGCGGCGGGATTCCGGCCCCGGCCCGCGCCCCCCGGGCCCCGCGCAGGTGCAGCCCCCGGCCTCCCCCTCCTGGAGCTGGGGCCGCGGGCGGCCGCGCGCGCGGGTCGCGGTGTCTGGGGTCCGCGCGCGGGGACTCTGCCCGCGCTCCTCCCCACCTGCAGGAACGCGAGCCGGCGCGCAGCGGGAGGAGCCGCCCCGGGCTGAACCCGCGTCTCCTAACGGGGCGGGGGTTGTCTCGTTGTTCCCCGTTTTCAGTCGTGAGCTGGTTCAGGACGGCGGTGTGTTAAGCCGCGAGGACTTCTCTTCCCCCGCCGTGTTTTCTGTGGCCCCAAATGGAGAACTCTTCAAGCAGGATGGATTTTCGGTCTGTGCTCTGAACCTTAAGATTCGGCGAAAGCTGGATACTTTTCACGTGACTTTTACAAAAAACACAGTTGATGAGGAATTATTGCGAGGGCATGCAGAGCGTTAAGTCAGCCTCATAGGCAACTGTCAGTCCTGCTGCAAAACGGTTTAGCGTGGTCTCGTGGTTTTATGAAGTACCATTTTCTCTGCTTGAAGCACAAACTTGCTCTCTAGGAAATGCTAATTATCCCTCAGGGGCTCGCTTCTGGCTCCTTGCAAGTACAGCCTTTGAACACAAACTGGAATTTTTAACTGCTTTCAGTTGTTGGAGATGCTGGTGAGAGTTGTTGTTTTTCTTCTTGACTGGCGTGCGTGGTGTGTGTGCCCGCGCTGTGCTGTTTCTTGGCATGGAAAGGTGTACCAGCAGATTCCTTAAACTTTGGTAGTAGCGTTTTAAAGAATGTTCTTTTCCTTCGGAGTCTTTCTCTGTCGCCCAGGCTGGAGTGCAGTGGCGGCATCTCCGCTCACCACAACCGCCGCCTTCTGGGTTCAGACCATTCTCCTGCCTCAGCCTCCAGAGTAGCTGGGATTGCAGGCGTGCGTCACCACGCCCGGCTAAGACGGTGTTTCACCATGTTGGCGAGGCTGGTATCAAACTCTTGACCCTGTGATCCACCCGCCTCGGCCTCCCAAAATGCTGGGATTACAGGCGTGAGCCAGCTGACCAAGTGTGTTACTTTCAAATCAAAATGCTGTTTATGTGTGTTTATACTGTAGACTGTATAAAGTCAGTGGTGGGGGCCTAACGGCTGTCCTGTAATCTGACGGTTTGTTTTTTGCAAAATACTGTGTCACAACAAAGGAAGTTATACGTCTGTTGTGAGGATCTCGAGTGTTTGTTTTTGTTTTTGAGACAGGGTCTCTTACCCAGGCTGGTGTGCACTGCTGCAGTCATAGCGCCCCACAGCCTCAAACGCCTGGGCACAAGTGATCCTCTGGCCCCAGTGCCCAAGGAGTTTGAGGTTGCTGTGAACTGACCGCACCACTGTATTCCAGGTTGGGATTACAGGTGTGAGCCTTGATTGCACCACTCCTGCCATAGTGCTGGGATTACAGGTGTGAGCCACCATGCCTGGCCACGATTTCGAGTTTTTAAAGAAAATTCTTACCATTCAGCCAGAACCATTTGTGTTGAATTGACTTCTACAGATGCCAACATGATAAACATGGAGATGAACTGACCTTTCAGTGAGGGATCAGAATTCAGACCTTTTTTTTTTTTTTTTTTTTTTTTTTTTTTGAGACGAAGTCTCCCCTTGTCGCCAGGCTGGAGTACCATGGTAGGATCTCCACCTCCTGTGTTCAAGTGATTCTGAGCCTCAGCCTCCCTAGTAGCTGGGGTTACAGTTGCACGCCAAGTAGAGACGGGGTTTCACCTTGTTGGACAGAATGCTTTTGGTCTGACCTCATGATCCGCCTGCTTTGGCCTCCCAAAGCGCTGGGATTACAGGCCTGAGCTACCGCGCCCGGCCAAATTCAGACCTCTTGAAGGGTAAGAATGAGCCTTGCAGTAGAGCTGAGTAAGAAGGGCAGCGAGATGAAGGCTGGGCCTCCCGTTTGTGCTCAGGCAAGAGTTTTGTGGCCACTGAGGCCGACATGAGTCCTGGACTTCTCATGGGCCTGGGAACCTCTGCCTGTACTGTGTACGCAGGGGAATTAAGGGCCTTTTTTACAGAAGGGATTTCAGCACTTTGTACAGTGTGAATTAAATTACTATCTAGAGATATTTTAGTACCTCCTTTAATTGTAGGGCATAGTTTCCAAGGTTTTGGTGTAGGGCAGTAACACAGGTTAATGGAATAAATTGTAAATAATTGGTACCCGTGAAATGCAGAAAAATTGTTTTAAAGTCTTTTTTTTTTTTGAGACAGTGTTTTGTCCTTGTTGCCCAGGCTGCAGTGCAGTGGCATGATCTTGGTCCACTGCATCCTCTGCCTCTCAGGTTCAAGTGATTCTCCTGCCTCAGCCTCCTGAGTACCTGGGATTACAGGTGTGCACGACACCACCACGCCTGGCTAATTTTTGTATGTTTAGTAGAGATGGGTTTCACCATGTTGGCCAGGCTGGTCTTGAACTCCTGACCTCAGGTGATCCGCTCACCTCAGCCTCCCAAAGTGCTGGGATTGCAGGCATGAG